AGAAGTGCAGTCTTCCGCATCCACAGCTACCGGTGAAAAGGATAACGAGGATACCAAAGAAGTTTGTCCTGGGTAGGTATTAGATTTGGCGTCTATCAAATTTGTAATTGCTGCTTGTATATCAGCCCATGTTTACAATTAGTAGAAAGTCAGTGCCACTTGTTTTGAAAGGACTACTTATTGAATCTAACTGTAGAGCACATATTTATTTACTTTATTTTCTTTGTAAGGTCGCGTCAACTGTTTGTTAAAGATCTGTGTAGAGGTACTGACACCCCCTCATCCATCTGCACTCTAGTTGCCACTGACTTTTCTAAGGCATTTGATAGAGTTCACCACAATACAGTCATCCTAAAACTGCTGTCCAAGGGTCTGAGGTGCGAGTTGATCCCATGGATCTGTAACTTCATCTCCAATAGGAAACAATGTGTGAGGTACCACGGTTCACTTTCCACCTGGGAATATTTGTCGTGCGGCGTCGCTCAAGGAACGTTACTTGGACCTATTCTGTTTCTCACCCTTATCGACGACGCTGCAAGTAACACCTACATCCCGACATGGAAATACGTAGATGATATGAATCTTCTCGAGTCTAGAGCCCTCCACCAACCCTCTACTATCCAGCAAGGGCTAGACGATCTCCATGAGTGGTCAACGAGTAACCACATGTTGTTAAACGGCTCCAAATGCCTCACCATGCACGTGACGTTCAGTCGAAACCCACCACCTCTCCCTCCACTCCAGATCTGTGAAACACCGTTAACAGTTGTAACCAGCATGAAAGTTCTAGGTCTTCGTAACCAGCATGAAAGTTCTAGGTCTTCATATCCAGAACGACCTACGCTGGGACAAACAAGTTAACCATATGTTAAGTTCAGCTTCGAAGAAACTCTATCTCCTGAAACGATTGAGGAAGTTCAACCTGTCGACAGCCGACCTGACAACAATCTACACAGGCTACGAGAGGCCCCTTCTAGAGTATGCTGCACCTGCATGGTCTCCAGGACTCACAAAGTCTCAAACCGACAAACTTGAACGAATCCAGAAGCGGGCTTGCCGCATTATCCTAGGGACCACGTATTGCTCTTACACTTCTGCACTTCAACGCCTCGGGCTAGTGTCCCTCTCAGAAAGAAGAGAATTGCTCTGCCGGAAATTCGCGAGGACTCTACTAAGTTCCGAATACAGAGACTGGTTACCACCCACTAGACTACAGATCACCGGCCGAGTAACTAGAAACAGTCACAAACTGTCCAACCCCACAACAAGAACAAACAGATATAGAAACTCGCCTGTACCGTACATGTGTAGTCTGCTAAACAATCCTGTATAATGTAACACATCAGATGTAAATATTCGTACTTTTTTATTCGAACAGATTTTATTACAACCTATATCCCTCAGAAGTGCAGTGTCTTTTTAACCACCGCTATTTTAACTACCGTCTTTTTAAATTGTCAATGGATTTTAGTATGTAAAATAATGTCTGTAGGTATTGAATTGTTTTGAAATTGTGTAAATTGGACGCAATTCAGTGATACACTGCAATGTTCAATAAAGTGATCTTGAATCTGGATCTGCATGGAAACACCAGGTGTGTGGATGTGCAGCAGGAAACAACAGTTGCAGATCTCACCATACAGTTGGAAGCAGAGAAGATCCTACCCCCTGAAGGGTCAATGATGGCAGGATCCAAGAAGGTAAGGTTCTTATGAATACCATAAGGGAAATGGGTTTTTGTGCGCGTGAAAAATTTGCGCGCACGTGAAAAATTTGCGCGTGAAAATATGCAAATAAGCCGATTCCGAAGGGATTTAAAAACTTTTTGCCGTTTTGGACTTAAAAATAAAGATGACAAGTCATGAAATAGAATTGAGTATCATATCACATTCTAGAGTACATAGCCTTGTTTTGTAAACTTTTCAGTGACTTTTAGGTGATTTTCAAAAGTTTAAGTTTTCACGCGCAAAAAAAGTTTGAAATTTGCGCGTGAAAGAAACTGCTTCATAAAATGCCAAATCAAGCTTATAGAAACCTGGAATTGTTAAATTTAACAATACAAAACCTTGTATTAGTAACTGTTCCATGTTTTTCTAGCAAATTTAAGTAATTTGTTAATTTTAATGTTTCTTGGAAGATATGCAAATTAACCTATTATTCCCAAGAGACCTAAAAATCCAAACCGAAATTTCAGGTTGTAGATGGAAAATCATGTTACAGGGTAACATTTTTCTGCATTAGAATTTGGTACTGCATATTTTCTGACATTTTCAAAGGACTTTAATTTTTCACGCGCAAATTTTTCACGCGCAGAAAACCCGTTCCCCCATGGTAAGTTTGGGAAATCCCAGATTTCGTGCAGTGGAATAACGACGTGGAGGGGTGGGATAATGCACTGAACAAGAGAGCCGCCTTCAAGTGCCACCTGCCTTTCCACCTGGTTCTTGCCCCAGCTCCAGAAGGAAGCAGCGCTTGTGGAGCTCGATGGCGATGGCATTTAGTTTAGATAATTGTGGCATTTAGATTATTAATTGGTATCTTTAATAATTAATTTGCAGTAAGTTTTAGCCTATTTTCGGTGTACGGCTCCTCCAATAGTCATCCACAAATATTTAAATCCATACCATGCTATGGCATAACATCTGTTGCTTTAAAAGCTTTATTTCGAAAGCATTATCTTAGATGAAAACTGTACACCGAACGGTTAACAAACATAATACATAACCTAACAAGGAGAAGTCGTAGACATCATCCTTCCATGAAATAGCTTGTTATTTTGTAATCTTTTGGTGTATTTCAATAGAGATATTATGAGTCAAACTTTGTTTTTATCAGCAGAATGATTTGTGGTGGCACTTTGTATTTATCAAGCTGTCATGTGCAGGCGTTTAGTGTCTTGTTACCATGGTTTGTTTACTTTGATGGCCAGCAGGTCATTTGCCTTAGCCTGGGTACCATCCCCAGTAGTATATTCGCAAACTCTATAACTGTTATAGAGTTTGCGAATATACTACTGGGGATGGTACCCAGGCTACATTTGCCTGTACATGTAGGTCAATGACCAGACAGGCAAATGACCTGCAGACCAGACAAACAAGATTTATTTTCTGCAGACTCTGTCTAAGGGGTAAAAATAGATAGGGCTGCCTGGGTCTGACCTGCCAGCTGGAGGTATAAAACAAAAACACTCAGTCCCTAACGTTTTGGGTCAAACAGACCATCCTATTATGAAGTAGGGGTGAAAAAGTGAAAATCCTTTTAAATTAAGCAATAAAATATGCGACAACCTGCTAATGCACTCCAAAACACAAAGAGACTCAACAACTACCCACATACCAAAAATCATACCAAACCATCCCCCAGATTTTCCAAACATTCAACACAAAAAGTCCAACATTAAACATTTTGTAAATATCAAACGCAAACAGCTAGGGGACCCAAATTTAAACCACTAAACCATGGTAATAACAACTACATGCTACCTTAATATCGCACAAACAGTCCATAACGCGAAAACAACAGAATAAAAAATTAAACTGCAGTACCAAGGTCAATCACCAGGGGCTCAAAGTCAACCTACACAATCTCCAAGGCCCCATCCATCAATCTGCCAAATATCGTACAGTTCCTTCTCACCGATCTTCAGATATCAGACCAAACATGAAACGGAGTAAAAACAGTACCCCCATTTTCATGGAGGGTAATAAATACTACGCTTCCAAGAGGGAAGTATTATACATTATAGGATTTGCTGTTATTGATATTGTATGTTCTAGTGAATTTTGTGTACGTGTGAATTTTGACGAAACGCTTTTATGTTTACGGACGCGAGGGCAACTTGTGCATTTGTCCATATACTTACATACTTATATAGAATCTTGATAACTAAATGAAAGAAATTTATAATGACTATCCTTCCATCATAAGTCCGTCAATCATTGTGTTTCGTAATTCCAACATAATGTTTTTGCCTCTGCAACAGAAGGCTCATCAAGGAGTTGAAACAGCTCCGAGCTTCCTGAGCCTGCTGAATAAGTCATGGAGTCCAGGAGACAACCCACAGGCAACATCAGGCAGAGTTGGGTCCGGTTTGTACTCTGTTTATGGCTCCCACAACAGCCATTTCGGTGAAACCCAGACCTTCCCAGTTATCAAACTGTAAATTAACTAGTGTAATGTAGGGAGAGAGAGTAGAGTGCAGTAGAGTAACCTTTATTCAAACTGGATAGCCCTGTCAGCCATCATGAACTGACCTTCCCAAAGGTCAATGAGGGTTGGCAATAGATGTTTGGATAGACTAACCTGTGTTTGACTGTATATGACTGCTAAACTAACGGTGTTTTTTTTCTCAGTTGGGTACAAAGTATAACATGCATTTATTTTGTATATCTGATTCAGTGCTCTTCAACTATTGTGCTTGTATCTGCCACAATATGTTAAGCATTTTGTATTCCCTTTTACAAGATTAATACTTACATCCCAAATACTTTTGTTCCTGTTTCAGTGGATGACATCAAAAGGTG